ATCTTTTTTTTTAAAATGTATTTTTATTGATTTCAGAAAGGGAAAGAGAGACAGACACATTAATGATGAGAATCATTTATTGGCTGCCTCCTGCATGCTCCCTACTAGGGATCAAGCATGTGCCCTTGGCTGGAATTGAACCCGGGGCCCTTTAGTCCATAGGCCAATGTTCTATCCACTGAGCCAAACCAGGTAGGGCCAATTCTTAGTCTTGAGAAGCTTCCAATCTAGTTGTAGTAAATTATGTACACACATAATTTTATGGTCACTACAACAAGGGAACAGGAAAAGCTTCCATAAAAGATGTGAGATATTATGTGGGTCAAGATATTGGGGAGGCAATAGCACCATATCTTTGACACCGGTTATGTTTCTGATACATTTACTCATCCTCCTAACAGCTCATCAGAGGTATTTCCTATTTTCAGATGTGAAAACTGAGACTATGTCAAGTGACTTTCCAGAGTCATATGGGTATTGCAATAAGTAGTAGAGTTAGGATTTTAACTTGAGGAGCTGGATGCTTGGATATAAACTTTTAATCACTATGGGACAGTGCCCAGGTTTCAGCTGCCTGGGCTCCTGAGGTGAAGCCTGGCTCTACCACTTACCGGCCATGGGGAAACTTACTTTACCTTTCTTCATTGTCACATCTGTAAAATAATACTTATTGGGGTTTAAATGGCCAACTACAATTGGGGAGTTACCAGAATTAGACTGCCTGGCTGGTCACTGTGGTGGGTTCACAAACCCTTCAGGGGCAGTTTCCCTGACCACATCCCAAAACTGATCAAACACAGGGAGACTCTCTCATAAGCACAAACTCTACTGTGTCCAATCACCATGTGGGACTATATTACATGTTGCTGGGCGATTGCTGGCTTGAAAGGTGAAGGGAGCAGAAAGCCAAGGAATGCACACAACCCCAAGAAGCAGGAAAAGGAAAGGAAATAGAATTCCTCTAAGAAACCTAGAAAATAAGGCAGACCTGCTGACATGTTTTTAGCCTGATGAGATCCAATTTGGACTTCAGAGCCCCAGAACTGTAGGAGAATTAATCTGTATCATTTTAAGCTACGAATCAGAAGTCATTTGTTACAGCAGCAACAGGAAACGAATACAAATGCCAGGATCATTCCCACCTTAGAGCATTTACACGGGTTGCTCACCAGTTGTTCCCTCTGCCTAAAGTGCTCATCTCCAAGATATTAGCATCATGGACATTTCCCCCATCAGGGGTTCCAATGGGGTCTCTGCTTAAATTGTTCCCCTTTAGAAAGACTTTCCTGCATCACTCACAGTAGCCTCCTTGTTACTTTGTCATGTGGCCTGTTTTACTTTATCTTTAACACTTATCACTACTTGCTGCTTTTTTTTTTTTTATGCCAGTATGGTACTATCCAAGGAAAGCTGACCTTGTCTCTCACTGTTCCTTGTAACTCCAGTATCTAGAAGAATGCCCGGCATGGAGTAGGAGCTCAATAAATATGTGTTGAATAAATAACTGAGCATTTGTTTCAGGCAAGGCAATGCACATCACTGGCCCATGGACTCTTTTCAACAGCCTCATGAGATAGAACTCCCACCACCATTTTGTTAAACGTAAAGCCCGTCAGAGCAATTATAAGGTGTTCTGTGTTCTTGGCACATAGTAAGCATTCATAAATATTGTAAGTACTGAGTCACATTCAAAGAGACCGAGTAGCCAATGTAATATAGGTTAAAAGAAAATATGTGCTACATTGATGTCTGTAGTTTCCCTAATCTGTTGTTGAAGAACTCCAGCCCTACAGCAACTCCGTTCTCATGAGCTCAAGCCTCTATTCCACCTGCCTCCTGGACATCTCTAGTGACAATCCCCACTGGCCTTGAACACAAGACACAAACTGAATTTGTAATCTCGTGCCCAAATCTACTTTGTAAAGACTCCCTGGCTGAGCGGATGGCACTGGCATCTATTGGACAGATTCTGGGATTCATTTCAGACTGGTTCACCATTGCTCTAAAGATGACCAGTATTATTAATATTTTTAAAATTCTTCCTGTTTAACAGTTCTTACACGGATTGCCTTTTCCTGCGCCACTGATTTAGAACTCCTGCCTGGACTATTTGAATGGTGGTCACTCCAAAGACAGGTGTACAGAAAATCTCTGGAATCTGAGTGACACTGTGTAAGTTTTCTAGGGTGGCCTTTTCAGAATACCACAAGCTGGATGGCTTAAAACGACATTTATTATCTCACACTTCATGAGGCCAAAGCTCTGAAATCCAGGCATCCGCAGGGTTGACTCCTTTTGGAGACCCAGAGGGAAAATCTGCTCCAAGCCTCTCCCAGCTTTTGGTGCTTGTTTCCAAGATGAATCTTTGGCTTGCAGATACATCACTCCAATCTCTGCTTCCAGTTCCACAGGACTTTCTCCTCTTCTGACTCTTATGAGTCTTCGTGTGCATGACCTTCTTAAAAGGAAACGAACCAGTGGGTTTAGGACCCATCTTAATCCAGCATGACTTCCTCTGAACTAATTACATCTGAAAGACTCACTTTCCAAATAAGGTCACATTCTGAAGTTCCAGGTAGACATAACTATTGGGGGAACAATATTCAATGAATTTGAAAAAAAAGGATATTTTCACATTAATTGAGGACCATAAAATGAAATAATTCTGGCTTATCTGGGTGGGCCCTAAATCCAATGACAAATGTCTTTATGAGACACACAGAAAATGAGAAGACACAGACAGAGAGGAGGCAATATGAAGACAGAGGTAGAGATTGGAGTGATGTGGCCATAAGCCAAGGAAGCTAAGTAATGCCATCACCAGAAGCTGGAAGAGGCAAGAAGGGATTCTCTGCCTCGTCTCCAGAGGACGTGCAGCCTGGCCAACCAACACCTTGATTTTGGACTCCTGGCTTTCAGGACTAAGAGAGAATAGAGTTCTGTTATTTCCTAGCTAGTTAAAGGTACTTGTTACAGCAGCTATGGGAAATTAACCCAAGCCCTAACATAACAAAATTCACACTGAACTGAATTCTTTTCCTTTAAGTAACCATTAAAAACAAAACAAACAAATAAAAAAACCCTTTCAGGAGCTAGATTCAGCTCTACGCAGATCAAAGAGTTCTTGGTAAATAAGAATTTGTGAACAGTCATAAAGTTAAACTGGCTCAATTTCTGTAAGCGTAATGTTTAATGATCTTTTAATAAAAGGGCATGCCTTCAATGACTGAGATACAAGACTCTTTAACCTAGTGAGAAATTACTCTAAGAAAATAATTGTGTTGTAAACTATCTTTCATGTATGTCCACTTATCTTGTGCCTGCCTAAGTAATTAACATCAGATTTTATCACACCTCCTGTGCTTTCTCTTTTTAGATTATTTAATGTTAAGCTCTTTTTATCTAGAGGCTCCCTTTTTGTTATCCTGCCTGATGTATAATTAGACGACGCTGCATGCTGTGCCACCTTCAACTGCTGGCACAGCGCATCAGCCGGCTTCGTTTTTGGATAGCAAGCCATGTTATCAAGAAACACGACTCTAGGGAAATACAGGATGAGTGTCTTTCAATCTTTGAATACATTCAGAATTAAAATCTGGCATCTCTGAACCATCCCCGAAGTCCCTTCCAAATGTTTAGTTAACCACGGAGTCATTAGAGACCAGACTATTTCCAAAACAGTATTTTAATAAAAACACAGTATTTTATTTCTTTGTTTGGGTGCATAAGGGGGGAGGGCGTTGATGGCCCAGCAGGGTCACCGTAGGCAGTCCTCCTTGAAACTATCAGTGTCACGTGGCTGCCTTGAAACACCTGAAGGTAGAAACTGGGGGACAGACTCTAGCACGTGGGGTGATGGAAGTTAGGACCCCACCTTTCAACCTCCCCCCCCCACCCACCCACACACTCTGTACTCGGCAGGCCCTTCACCTCTTTGCCTTGGGGGTCCCTGACCCTCCGCCCTGGTGGTCCTGTTAGAAGGAAGGCTTGGTCCACACCCCCGGCAGCCCACCCACTCCCGGCAGGTGTAGGCAAGGGGGCTCCGGGCAGAGCGCACGCTGCGGGCGACAGACCTCGAGGGCTCCAGCGGACGGACGCCGGAAGGAAGAATTCCAGCGAAGTTGGGCATCGGCTGGGCGCCCAGTTTTCCACCCACCCGCGCGGCCGGAGCCTCCCCCCGCCGCCACGCCCCCGAGGGAGCGGCTTCTCCGCGCCGCCCGGGGACCGCGTCCGCCACCCGGATCTGGCGGGGCACTGGGAGCCGCCTGGCCCCGCCCCCTGCGCGCACGTCAGCGCCCGCGTCCGGGAAGCGTCGTAATACCCCGAATAAGCGCGCCTCAAAAAAAAAAAAAATCCCTGGTTGCTCCCCGCCGCAGATGCAGAGAGAGACATTTCTGATCAAGCCCACGATGCCCTCCCCACAGCCTCGTGGCGAAGCCAAAGAGAACCTCTCCGTAGATGTGTTCCAGGGGCGCTGGCGGCTGTCTGTGCCTGTAGTTTTGTTGGAGAAGGACGCTCGATCAAGCTAGGTGGCTGTGGCGCCTTCTGGCTCTCCCCGCCCCAGCCATCCCTAAGGTTCCGCAGGTCTTGGAAGTGGCGAATCTGTCAGCCCCACCACGGCGGCCAGCCTCTTTTCCTCAGATAGCCCGCGCCGGCCAGCCTGGCCCCGATGGTTCGCTTCGGAGTCTTCGCGCATGGGAGAGGCGTGGGGGCCCGATCGGATCCGGTGGATGCGCGTCTACCCGGAGGCGCGCGGTAGTGATGGCGGCGCTCAGTGAGGCTTCCCTGTCACTGGATACTACTACTCCCAGCCCTCCTCGAAGCCGCCCGGGCGGCCCCCAGGTCTCCAGTTTACAAGTAGCAATTTGACTTTCTCCGCTGCCTGGTGAAGAGGGACTGTGCAAAGAGTGCAGACGCCCCCCCGGGGACTCAGCGATCGCAGCCCCCCAAAAAGGAAAGGAGGCAAACAAATAAACAAAACCCTACCCGTCCTGGCCAACATGAGGCTGCTGGAGAGGATGAGGAAAGAATGGTTCATGGTTGGAATAGTGCTGGCGATCGCCGGGGCGAAGCTGGAGCCGTCCATCGGGGTGGACGGGGGTAAGTCTGCGCCGCCGCCGCACGCTCCGCTGGGGAACTCACACGGGCGAGTCTTGGACGGGAGGGGAGACACGGTCTTTGGGGGGGGATGTCTACCTCTCTCTGGGGCGCTGACCCGCCCGGGGTGTCCTTTGGCCCTTGGGCTGACGTTTTCAGTTGGCCGACCCCAGAGGGGAATTTGCCATGCAGATCCCCCCCAAAGGGGCCAGCAGCGACTTGGGACGCAGGTTCCCTTTCCCGCGAACAGTCAGGGACTGTCCCCCCGGGTTCAGGAGTGAGGGGACCGAGGCGGGGATGAAACTTACTTCTCGTCCCTTCAGAGCAGCATCCTGCTCCACGGATGCTGGGGTGCCAGGAGTTCATGTCTGTCTTGGGGTGGGCACCATGACCATGTCTATTTCCAACCCCTCACCCCCTTAAAAAAATAATAATAATAATAAAAAAAAGCAGGGGGAGAGAAAGAGGCAGGGACACCCCTTCCTCCTGCAGCCCAGCCTTTGGGGCCCACACGCCGGAGGCTGGAGGGAGGGATGCTGTGCAGCGCGGCTGCTCCCCGGCAGCGCCCGGCTGAGTGACACGTCGCACACTTTCCTGCCGGGACGCCACTTCCGCGTGCTGCGGGCCGGCCCGGTGGCTGCACCCGGCGGGGGTCCCACAGCCGCAGGCTGTGCTGGGCTCTGGGGAGTGTGTGTTTTGGCCAGGGAATGTGGGCGGGCCGACATCACCCGCAGATCCCGGATAGTGGGAGCCTTGTCATGTGGGGGGGAGGAGGCATGGGTGGACATGCCTGGAGACATCATTGGCCTTTTTGTGGCCCTTACCCGTCCTCTCTCCCCTCCACCTCCAGTCATGTCCTACTTTTCATAAGCATGAATTGGATTTCTTCCATGGACTGTCTTTTTTTTTTTTTTTTTTTTTTTTTTTTTTTTTTTTGACTTTGTTTGCCTGTTTCCAGGCTAATTGACAGGTTTCATACATCAGCCATACAACGGGGACAGATGAGGAGAGAAGTGAGCGCAGGCAAGCTTTGTATGGTCGGAAGTGCTCAGGAGGATATTTGGAGTTATTGGCTCCTTGTTAAACCATGATGGTGGTTGTTGGGGGGATAATATGATCTCTCAGGAGGAGAGTGGTTCCTTCTACCCTCTCCTTTCTATACCTGCATTGAGAAGTCGCTTCAGGGAACATTTAAAAGGAAGGACTTGAGCAAAGATTGTGGGGATGAAAACTTTTTTACCTTAGAAATGTCATTTCCCATTTTCACTAGACCTCATGCCTTCCATCTAGGATAATATATTTCTTTGTTTAATTTCAAAAGAGTAGAATGTTAAGAGCTCAAAGGGGTCTTTAAAGTATTTTAAGCCAACAGGCTTCTTTCACAGTTGACGATCCTGAGGCCTGAGACCAGGTGACTGACCCTAGGATAAGTTAGCTAGGGAAGAGGAAGGACTAGGGACTAGGACTGCCCCTTACTTCATACCAGTTGCAAAATCCATACACATTTTCTTGATGAAAAAAATCATTAAAAATGAGTAACCATTATAAAGAAGAAGCCCTCCGTAATAAAGACATTTTCTATGCCCTGATTTTTAGCTCAAAGGAGCAGACCAGAATCCACTAGTATTAGATAACAGTTAAACTTACATGATTTCTTTGTTAGCTGTCCATGTGTAAAAGTTACTTTCTCTAAAACCAAAAGTCAAGCAAACAATTATATAGGCTGTCAGGCAAAGTATTTGTTACTTCTGTCAAACTTCTCATTGACCTTGCAACCTCTTAAATAAAAATAAACCTCCAAATATTGATAAATAACACTTTCACTCCACTAGTTAATCCAACAAAAATCTAGGAACAAGGAAAGAAATGGTTGCTGAAATGTTTCTGTCCTATTCTGTTCTTTAGAATGGTCTAAGGTACCTATTTTTGCTTCTAACTTTTAGTCAGAGTTTCCATTTATGGGTTCAGTACATTGATGAACAGTTTTTGGAACAGTTTTCTAGAAATTATAGTAAATAGGGAGGTTTTTATAGTCTTCAACTTAAGATGCTCACTTCACTTTTGCCTGGATCAGTACCTTAATGATTGCACTCTTTTTTTTAAATCCTCACCCAAGCATATTTTATTTTAAATAATAATTTTAGAGTGAGAGGAAGGGAGAGAGAGAGAAACATCAATCGGTTGCCTCCTGTACATGTGCAACTAGGATCAAACTAGATATGTACCTGACCAGAAATCAAACCCTCAATTCTCTGGTATATGGAACCATGTTCCAACCAACTGAGCCACCCAGCCCAGGCTACACTCTTTATTTTTAAGTGTAAGACTTATACACTTAAAGTGTCACAACTGCCGAAGCTGGTTTGGCTCAGTGGTAGAGCATCGGTCTGCAGACTGAAGGGTCCCGGGTTCGATTCCGGTCAGGGGCATGTACATTGGTTGTAGGAGGCAACTGGTTGATGTTTCTCTCTCATTGACGTTTCTAGCTCTCTATCTCTCTCCCTTCCTCTCTGTAAAAAATCAATAAAATATATTTAAAAAAATAAATAAAGTGTCACAACTACCATCTGACCTCCCTTTAAAAAAATCTTTAGCTGATATGGTTCAGTGGTTATACTTGAACCCATGAACCTGGAGGTCACATGCCCTGGTTGCAGGCTCGATCCCCAGTAGGGGGCATGCAGGGGGCAGCCCATCAATGATTCTCTCTCACCATTGATGTTTCTATATCTCTCTCCGTCTCTCTCTCTCTGAAGTCAATAGAAATATATTAAAATATTAAAAAATTTTTTATAGCCAATTAGTAAGTTTTTTAATGGCAGGAAATTTATAGATATGGGAAACCTAAAGTTAGAGAAGTTGAATGACTTTCCAAATGGGAAAAAGCATAATAGGTACATGCCTAGATAATTTAATTCTTAGTTTACTCACTTACATTTTCCTTTTCAATAAATAGAAGAAGTGTGAAAATAAAGAGCCCCAATAGATGTAAATGCATATAGATGCTGAGGTATTATTAATCTGTTCATTGAGACCCAGACAAATTCTGAGCTATGCACACCTTCGAGTTTAATCAAGTTCAACACTGTGTTATTCATTTTTGGGAAGAGAAAGATTTACTTCTTTGGAAGTACAGAGTAACTTTTTCATTTCTACCTGCATCTTAACTAAATGTTTGCCATTAATAATACATAAACCCTAAAAAGGAAACTGCTTCATTTTTCCATTAAAAGAACATAACCAAAAATATGCTATAAGCTTAAGTACCTTGGCACAAATATCTTAGATCATGTTTAGAAGTGAAATTTACTTTGAAGATGAGTAGATTTTATGAAATAACTAGAGGCTCAGTGCATGAAATTTGTGCATGGGTAGGGTTCCTTGTGACTGCCAATGGCCTCCCTTCCCCTGGCTGCCTGCCTCTGCTTCTGGCTGGGGTGGGGTCAGCCAAGGGGGAGGGGCCATGGGCGGTTGGCCAGCTGGCCCCACCCCCTGGTCGAACTCTCAGTTAAAGGGACAATTAGCACATTAGACTTTTATTATATAGGATAATAGTTCCTTGCAATCTTAAGCATTCCAAATAGTTTTCTCTCCCTTTTCATCCCCAAGTCCCCATTAAAAAGTGTGAGTTCTGGAGCCCCCAAATTGCTTCATTTTTTAAAATTTTCTTTTGATTTTACTACCTTATTTTCACTGACAAATAATTTTTTTTTTTTTTTTTTTTTTGCTTTTGTTTAAAGGAAAAGTTAAAATTTACATTTCCACTTCAGCTCTATAGCCATCTTAAGATCTGGAGCTGATTATTTTGGTGACATAGAAGATATAATCATTATCTTGGAGAGGGCCAGATATCATTTTTAAATAGTAGTTTCACCTCTCACTTCTGTGCAAATATTTACCAAGTTTTTATTGCAGCCTTGGTGACTTCTGGTTCCGCATTCAAAAGTTGAGCTGTCTATTGGCATTCTGTGATAATGTCTCAGAGGGCTTAGGTTTCTCCAAATCAGAACAATTTCCTCCTTTCCTTTCAAAAGATATCTTGTAGGTAGTCCTGGAGTACCCTCCCCATGTCTTTTCACAGTGTAGAGTTATTCAGAGATGCATCTAATAAAAACCCCTACACAATTTAAAACATTGAAAGTCAAGAGTCATTCCACTGAATTACACCAACTAGTTAACAGTTATCATGTGTATTTATTTATGTGCATGTGAATTGTGGGAAGAGTTCTTAAAAAACTTGGTTGTTGGCCAACTAAGGTAGATGTTTTAACTGTCCCAGAGAAACATATAATTTAAGCAGATGCCATGTGCTGGCTATGGAGATGCATCTTTAGGTGTGTTCCCTGGCTCTCTCTTGTGACCACATTGCTAACTCTGTCCGCTATCTTATACGGACATTCTGGAGGCACCACTGTGGGCAGAACCACTGTTGACAAGAATAAGGTCTGATAAAAAACTGGAGACTGGAGGAAAATAAAAATGCTATTGGTTTTTTTTTTTTTTTAAATGGTATTTAAAATTCCTGGGAAGCATCTACTTTCAAAACAAGCCAGACTCCTTGACTTTAAAATCTGCTTCTGAACCACTTTTCTCAGTTGCTGAGAAAATATTATTTCTTTTTTTTTTTAATATATATATATTTTATTGATTTCTTATAGAAAGGAAGAGAGAGGGAGAGAGAGTCAGAAACATCGATGAGAGAGAATCATCGATCAGCTACCTCTTGCACACCCCCTACTGGGGATGTGCCCACAATCAAGGTACATGCCTGCAATCAAGGTATATGCCCTTGACCGGAATCGAACCTGGGACCCTTCAGTCCACAGGCTGACGCTCTATCCACTGAGCTAAACCAGCCTGGGCTAGAAAATATTATTTCTAAGTGTGAGCTGCTGAGACAGATTTACTCTTGGGCAAAACAATAATATATCTTCTTCAAGTTTTTGAACAGCCTTTACTGCCCTCTTCTGTAATACCATTAGCACTTACCTCTTCCCTTTTGTTTTCTTGTCTCAGATCTCAGCAAAATGATTTGTGTGAATGCCGGGTACATAAAAGAATTTATACATTGTTTGAGGAGACCTTTGCTCCTTTTATTCACTGATGTACTACATATACCTAAAATACAGTAGTTGCTCAATAAGTATTTGTTGACTGAATGAATGGTGATTTTTCCTGACTTTGGAACTGAACATCTGTAGGTGTATGGTTGAGAGTTATAGGGAACGGAGGAGCCATGAATGTGGTTCTGTTGTTTTGCTTAAAGGGTGTATTAGTTTCTTAGGATTGCCAATGGCAAATTACCACAGACTGGGCGGCTTAAAACAACAAATTTATTTTCTCACAGTTCTGGAGGCTAAGGTCTGATCAAGATGTTGGCAGGGCCATGCTTCCACCGAAGGCTGTAGGGCAAACTCTGTCCTTGCTTCTTCTAGCTTGTGGTGGTTGCCGGCCCGGCCAACCGTGTCCCAATAATATAAACTGTAGTGTCTGCCTCTGTCTTCACATGGCCATCTTTCCCTCTTTTTATAAGAACACCAGTCACTGATGAGGGTCCACTCTAATCCGATAAGACCTCATTTTAATTTGATTATATCTACAAGACCCTATTTCCAAATAAGGTTCTGGAGGGACACACATTTTTGGAGGGATGCTATCAACTCAGCACAAGATGGTTGCATAGAATGTCAAATATGAAATAATCTCAGATTTTAAACTGTTGGTATAAAGTTTAGGGTTGCCCCTTATTGTACTCACAATGTTAACACGTCTGGGATGATGCCAGTCTAACTTCAGAGAGGAATTTTTTGGAGAGCACAGATCAGGCCTATGTGGTTCACTATAGTTTTCTCAGGGCCAAGCACAATTTCTTAATAATTATAATCTTAACAACATGTTGTTAAGTGCTCTATTCCTCTGTCTGTATCATCTCAATCACATAGTAAGTGCTCAATAAATATTTGTAGATTGGATACTCTTGGGGTGAACTGAATATATGCACGAATGCAAGCTTTTATTTCTGGTATCCTAAAGAAATTAAATAATACTTGCTGAAGAGAAAGTAAGTTCTACCATTGAGAAATTCTCTTCTTTGATTTGGGGATTGATATTGTGGTAGATATCATTAGGAGCCATGTTGTGAAGGATGTTGACTATCTGCTCTCTTATGTGAGAGCAGTTTATTTTTGAGTTTATTTTTATTCTTCTGGTTCAAGGATACTGTGCTGAGCTGGACAGCCATCGTCCTTGCCTTCTGGAAACTTCTCTCTGGAATTAGATGGCACCACAGCAAATGCTCAACACCGTCAGGACAGTAACATACCCGGGTCAGCACTAAGAAATAAAGTACCACCTGTCTTTCTCCAATGGATTTGTCTGGAAGACTGGAAACTCTTATCTAACAGTACCTAATTTCTCTCCCTTTAGGACCACTGAAGCCAGAAATAACTGTCTCCTACATTGCTGTTGCAACAATATTCTTTAACAGTGGATTATCATTAAAAACAGAGGTACTGTCACCCATGGGGCACATGAAAAGCAGGGAGAAAAATTCAGTTTGTATTTAACATTTTAAAGTTTCAGAATCCTTTTGTAAAGCTGTGTGCAGCTGTAGTCTGACGGCTCCACTATAACAGAAGGTAACTTGGACTTCAGCACAGGACTTGTGTTTTGTATGCACATATTCTACAAACCTTATAGTGGAGCAGCATGGAACCTGAAGGTGGCGTATTTTTAAGATGGCAGCTGAAGTGATGCCTCTCCTTCAGGTCTTCCTCAGATTATGGTGGTAACGATAGGGGTGCCTTCTGTGGCCCCTTTAAGTTGTAGATGCTTATTTGGGCTTCCATAACTTTGTGGATTATCTTTTGTTCCCAGGACTGATGTTGTACAAGTGATGCCTGTTAAAAATTTTTTTTAACTAATTTATATTTTTACAAATGTATATTCTTTGCTAGTACTGTATAGTTACTAAATGTTAATAGATGTTTTGAGGAAATATTAGTCCTTTTTATACTAAATCTCACTCTACCATGAAGCTATACAGGTAATGTGATTTATTGATCCAGGTGTCACTGAATATGGGATTCCTTGGAATTAAATATCAAGACATTTTTATACCTGAGATAGGAATGAGTAAATATATGATTCCCTTTTGACTTATAATAGAAAAAAAAATAGGAGAAAATACTCATTTGCTTTTGAAGAAATTACATAGAGTTTTTTTTTTAAAATATATTTTATTGATATTTTACAGAGAGGAAGGGAGATAGAGAGTTAGAAATGTCGATGAGAGAGAAACATCGATCAGCTGCCTCTTGCACACCCTCTACCAGGAATGTGCCCGCAACCAATGTACATGCCCTTGACCAGAATCGAACCTAAGACCCTTCAGTCCGCAGACCGACGCTCTACCACTGAGCCAAACCGGCTTTGGTTACATAGAGTTTTAAAAGTTGTCATGCTAAGCTGCTTAGTCTTACATAGACAGGTTAACTTTACTATGAAAGGGTTTTTTTTTGTTTTTTTTTTAGGAAATGATTTTAAAACATACAATTCTGTTTGTGCATTATATCTTGCCTTTACTTCAAGTATCTTTCAGTGTGATTTGAATGAAGGTCAAATTTACTTAACTCATTTTTGATTGTTCTAATAACAACACAGAAAAAAAATATGGTTTTACTAAAGGTAGCAGGTTGGTATAAATCTTTCTATTGGGGTCATTTGGGATATAGATGGGATCCATGTGTAGTATCTACGACAGATGAATTGTGTCATATTGCTAAATATCCTCACTGATGTCTTCTGAAAATAGCTGACATGGATGGGATTTCCTAAATATGTCAAATTCCAGTTTTTGTAAATTATATTGATAAGGAAGGACTGTGATTAGTACTTAGAGGACATAGGCTTTACCTGTCAACACCAGAGTGCTATTGGTCATCAAATGGGGACAGAATTTATCACTCCTTTGCTGCTGGTCTCATCTTCCTTGAGGTCTTCCTGCCGGCCTTGGTTAACGCTCTTTGTGAAGCAGCTGCCTCACCCAAGTCTTCTACTTGAGAGGTTGCTCTAACTACGCCCCCTGGTGGCTTCTTAATGGTTACAACTGTTGCTTGTGCTATGGGAAATCTGGCAAGAGACAGATTTCTCAGCTTCTTGCTTAATGCTGTTCTGTAAAGCAGCCAACTTTGTGGGATGCTGAGATTGAAGAAGGAAGGTCACAGTTATCAGCATTTCTCTAAGGACCAGATTTTCTGTAAGCACCTAGGAAACCTTCAGAGTCATCCAACTAATTTGATCTAATGATGAGCTGCCTGGATCCCTGGGCTTTGGTTTGTCTCCAAGAAGCCATCAGAACCATTTCCCCCATGAAAGACCCTTTTGAAACCAATACAACATTAAGTTATTTCCTAGATCCATTTAACTTAAGATGCCCTAGATTGCATGTTTGTGTAATGTTAAACCATCTCTAAGCCCTGCTTATTTCCTGGGCAACTGAACAGTTGTAAGTTAGAAGGTAGCAATCTTGTTATTTGTTTCCTAGTTAATAATCTTCAATTAATTACAATCGGGACAACTATTTTTGTATCCTTTTAGGTCTTAGAATCGTGCATTTTTGCACACAGAAGACGGTGAGTTATTATTGACTTGAGTTTATTTGAAAGATTTACTGTGGTCCCATTCAAATTTGATACATATTGAACATCAGACATTGATGTAATGATGTGTATTCTAAATTTGTTTTGCTCATTTATTAAAATTATAAAGAACTCTGTTTTAATACTTCATACTAAAAAGATTTAACGCCTAATCTTCAGTATTTTTTTAACTGTTGATTTCTAGTTTTTGAAATATGTGTTGAAATGGTTTCTGAAATCTTATTATACTGAAATGTAATAATGTGAACATTTGAGATATAGTTTATATATAGCTAACTTCAAACCTACAGTTTCAGAGGATTTATCACTTAACAGACCATGACAGGACCAATTTATTTACTAAACAAATAACCTATCAAGTGCCTATCACTACAACACACTGTTCTTGGCACAAGGGAAGAAACAAAGATGAGCAGGATTTTATGGTGTTACTTGCTTTTTCCTTTCCAGTGTTACCTTATTTTCTTTTTCCTGTTGTATGAAGAGCTAGAAAATCTATAATTCTAGGTTTTTATGACAGTCTTGAAAATCTTTCTTAGGAAACACTTCATGTCTGTTATTTCCCTGTTGTTAAGAGGTCCCTTATGACCCAACACAGCAGACTCTTGTGATTCATTTTGCTGAGTTCTTACTAATCCATTATTCTGATGTGATATCAATTGTTTCTAATTGTCATTTATTAGGTCATGCAGTAGTCTCTAACTGCATTTTATTTTTCATAACTCTTTTCTTATTATAGAAGTGGTATTTCCCTATTGCAGAAAGATTAGAAAGAGTGAAAAATAACTGTTCTAACATTTCTGTGCTTTTTTAGTTCTTTTTTTTCTTAAACATATTTTACATATAGAATGTTTTAAAAATAAAATATTTTTAACTTTATATATATGTATATAGGTATACACAATTTTTTCATGTAATTTAATACTGTTATTTAATTTTTCTTCACTTATACATTGAAAAATAAAATAATTTACATTTTGTTTACTTTTATGTACATAAATCAATTACAATTAATAAATCAAAAGGACAAAAGTATATATGATGAAAAGTCTTCCTTACACCCCTTTACCAGCTATCTCTCCTGTTCTCTTCTCTGGAGATAACAGTTTCTGTGTATCTTTCCAGTGATATTCTGTGCAGAACATTCATATGTGTATCCACCCCTATATTTTTTTATTCATATTTTTAAACTATATTTTATTGATTTTTTACAGAGAGGAAGGGAGAGGGACAGAGAGCTAGAAATATCGATGAGAGAGAACTATCAACCAGCTGTCTGCTGCACACCCCCTACTGGGGATGTATCTGCAACCAATGTACATGCCCTTGACCAGAATCGAACCTAGGACCTTTCAGTCTGTAGACCAATGCTCTATCCACTGAGCCAAACTGGTTTCAGCTATCCATCCACCCCTTTAAACTGTTATTTTATACTGTTTGCCAATTTACCTTATTTAACTCAGGAACCTATCTTGGAGATTATTTTATATCAACATATAAAGAACTCCCTGTTTTCTTTGTGTATCCTGAAAAGTACTCCATTTTATGAATGTGTCATGATACATTTTCCTGGGCCCCTATTGATGGACATTTAGGTATTTACAAGGTTTTGCTGTTATAAGCACTCTGCAAAGGAAACCAAAAACATGCCATTTCCCACATTTTGGAGCACAGGTGAAGGGTTAATTCCTGGAAGTGGAATTTATAGGTCAAAGTGATATATGCAGTTTAAGTTGTGATACATTCTCCAAGTACCTAGAATGGTGGCAGGAGCTCAGTAAGTATTTGTCGAATGAAGAAATGAGTTGCCAGATTGCTGTCCACAGGTTGTGCCAGTTTACATGCTGATTAAGTAGGGAGAGACCCTGTGCTCTTACATCGTTGTATACAGTTTTAACATGGTTTAGAATAGCTCTTAACACTGTTTAATTCTTACTTTAAGTGGTTATACTCTTATCGTTGGACATTTAAGTTGTTTCCAGATTTTACCGTAATGGATAATACTGTGAGGATCAGTTCTGTGTATAAATGCTTGTAATCATTTTTTATATCATTGGGATAAATCGTAGATATAAAATTTTGGGATCTAAGAATATAAATTATATTACAGTGCCTGATATATATCCCTAATTTACTTCTTAGAAAAGTTACACCATTTTATATTAATATGAGAAGTATATGCAAATGCCTTAATTACTGCATTGTGGCTAATCATTTTATTACAATTCAAACAATTGAAAACACATACGTGTTTGGTATTTCTTGAATGCCTCTGAGTATATATCTGTGTGAGATTTGGTTTCAAGACTGCTGAGAATTCTGGGAATTGCTGGTGCTCAAGTGTCTCTGGGTCTCTGGGGTGAAACTTCTGATTCAGAGCAAGGATGGCTCCTTTTCTTTTAGCTCTGACCTATGGACCTGGTCTGGCCTCTGGTCTGTCCAGTGTTTCCCTATATCAGTCCCAGATTGCCGGAAGCTCCTTAGCTATCGTTAAGGACATCTTGTGACCGAAATGGAACTGCTCTGTGTCTGCACACAGGGATAAATAGTGGGAGCCTCTGAGACAGATCCTAGAGGTGGTGGTCAGTGAATGAGTCTGCACCGACCTACTGTTCATTAGACTATAAACTCCGTCTCATGAGGCTGAGGCTATTGAAAGTCTTGCTTGAACTGGTGGGGTCTGGGACATTATTAACACAGTGGCAACTTTGAACGCACTTTAATAGTGCCTGAATGTTTTCTGTCAGTTTTCTACTACTTTCTGAATGTGTTTTATTTCCACTGAAAAGCCACACAACTCAAAGAAATTCAAATGCAAACTCTTGTTAGTTAGTATATATTTAAACCCTCAAATTTAACTGAGTACCTTTTAGTTGTGAGCCTCATAACATGTGCCTGGCTTGTCCTGTTTGATGGGAATCTTTTCCCTCCCTGGCAGCAGGATGACAGGTTTATTGGGTTTGATTCCGAGCTTCACTGTATAGGAGCTCTCAACCTCAAGTTCCTTATCAATAAAACAGGAAAAATAACATCCACCTAAAGGTGTTGATGTGAGGACAAAATGAGATGACATACATAAACTGGCAAACTCAGAGAATGGCATATAACTACCATTCAGTAAATGTTAATAAATTGAGTGAGTCGATTTTGTGGAAACAGTGTTTTTAATTATAGAATACTAGAGGCCTGGTGCATGAAATTTGTGCATGGGGATGCATGTCCCTCAGTCCAGCCCACACCCTCTCCAACCTGGGACCTCTCAAGGAAACGGGCAGTCGGACATCCTTCTCACAATCCAGGACTGCTGGCTCCCAACTGCTTGCTTGCTTGCCTTCCTGATTGATCCTAACTGCTTCTGCCTGCCAGCCTGATCACCCCCTAACTGTTCCTCTGTCAGCCTGATTGATGCCTAACTGCTCCCCTGCCAGCCTGATTGCCCCAAACCATCCTTCCCTGCAGGCTTGATTGCCCTCAACTTCCCTCCCTTGCATACCTGGTCTCCCCCCAACTGCTCTTCTCTGCTGGCCTGATTCCCCATAACTGCCATCCCTTGCAGGCCTAATCCCTCCCAACTGCCCTCCTCTGCTGGCCATCTTGTGGTGGCCATGTTATGGTGGCCATCTTGTGTCCACATGGGGGCAGCCATCTTGTGTGTTGGAGTCAATTTGCATATTACTCTTTTATTAGATAGGATTGTTGAGAGGAACATTTTAAAAAATATGATTGGTGTGTAGATTTAGTAACATCTTGCCAAATTGAGATTAATTATCATATAAAATTGTGACAGGTTTGCCGAAACCAGTTTGGCTCAGTGGTAGAGCATCAGTCTGTGGACTGAAAGGTCCCAGGTTAGATTCCGGTCAGGGGCATGTATGTTGGTTGTGGGCACATCCCCGGTAAAGGGTGTGCAAGAGGCAGCTGGTCGGTGTTTCTCTCTCATCGATGTTTCTAGCTCTCTATCTCTCTTCCTTCCTCTCTGTAAAAAATCAATAAAGTATATTTAAAAAATAAAAAATAAAAATAAAATTGTGACAGGTTTTACTAAAATTTTAAGTAAGATTTCTTTTTTTCAAGTGGTTAAACATACTTGTTTGTTGCAGTGTCAACAGTTCTGAAATATACCAGTAGGCAGTTTAGTCTTGGTCCAGAATTTCACAAATCTGAATTATTGTGATATATTGTATATTTTAAAGCAATTAAAATATTTCAGAAATTTTATATAAAAATTATAATCTTCATCAACCATCATCAACTTTTTTCTTAAAGTTTGTCTCTTTTGCAATAACTTTTTTTTTTTAATTTTTCTCTTACTACTTATGCATATTCTTTTATGCATAGGTAAAAAAATTTAGCTATGAAATAACTCCAAATTGATGGATGTAGCCAGACTTATTGTGTTGGTCAATTTACAGTATCCATCTATATAAAAGCCTAAATGACTGGCCGACTAGCCAGTAGCCATGATGCCCAATTACCACTAGGGGGCAGATGTTCAATGCAAGAGCTGCCAAGCTGCGGTAACTTGACAGCTGCCGTTCTCGGGTGACACACCTGGAACCAGAGAGGAGGGAGCCTGATCCTGGGGTGCATCACCTGAGTACCACCCTCTTGCAATCCAGGACCCCTCGGGGGATGTCAGAGAGCCAGTTTCAGCCCAATCCTTACAGGCCAGGCCGAGGGACACCACTGGTGCACAAATCTGTGCACCAGGCATCTAGTATATAAATATTGAATCATCATGTTATACATCTGAAACTAATATAATGTTATATATCAATTATATCTCAATTAAAAAAGGCAATTAGTGTGATGTTATTTTAGTGCCAACTTATCTTCAAAAATGGTTTTCTTACTTTTTTTTTAATCTTGTGTCCTTTTTTGCAGGAGCTGACCAGTGCTTTAGTGCATATACGACTGCATCTTTTCATTCAGATCTTTACGCTTGCATTCTTCCCAGCAGCAATGTGGCTTTTTCTTCAGCTTTTATCAATCACACCAATCAATGAATGGCTTTTAAAAGGGTATGTTTAAAATTTTGAAGAGTCTACTTTTTAATTAATTAATTAATTAATTAATTAATTTTTAAATTGTTGATGTCCCTCTCTTTCCCCCACATATGCCCCTGCCCACCCAGCTCCATTCTTCTACCTTCACTACATTGTGTCTGTGTCCATGTGCTATGCAGGAGGGTCCACTTTTAATAAGACATCTGTAGAGACATTGTTTCTGTAGCAACTGATGTGTGATATCTTATGAGAAACAAAAACACTTTTAACATTATTATTATTATCCTTCCTCTTAAGGAATTTAAAAGAGTTGTGGGAATTTAAAAGAGTTGTGTTGGGAGAAAACTGGAAGGGACTAGAGAGATGTAAGATCTGTATGTATGTATAAATATAGGCTGTCCATTGAGTGCTTTAACTTTTGTGGTTTAATCTTACCAAATGTACAGAGATAATACCTTTAAAAATGTATAGAAAAGAAAAAAATATGTACAGGGACAAACATTTACGTTTTCACTTGTTCTGTTTTATGCTTGATTGGGTAGTTGACTTAACAATAGATTTTTATTAGAATCTATTCTTCTATTAAAAATGTTGTCATATTCATTTAAAGGATTTGATGATTTAAAAAATTTTATTTGAATTGGTTTAGAACATGGTATAATAGCTAAAATACTGAACTTAAAAGCCGAAGATTGCATTCTGACCTTGTCCCTAACTTACTATGTGACTTTGAGGAAAGGAATTTCATAGTTTTGAACCTCAGTTTTCCAGTTCATAGAATGAAAATAATCATGCTTTTATTGCCTACTTTAACAACAATATCGGAGAAACCATTTGTTTAGCTCTTGCTATGTGCCAGGAATTATAAGTATTGGAAAACCTACACTGAACAAAATGGGCCAAGAGTGAGTTTTGCACTTGAAGAGACTTTGGATGTAATTGTCAGTAAACAAGTAAATGGATAACTAAGATAGGAATACGTGATGCGAAGTAAAGCACTGTGATATCGTTAAATGGTTGGGTGCCCAGGCTGGTGATTAATTTAGATTGTAGAGTTCATGGGGTAGAGCGTTGTAGGCAAAGGAAACAGAACGTTCAAAGGCTCCAAGGCAGGAATAACCCTGGTGTGTTTGAGGGTCAGGAAAGCAACCGTGGTGGCCAGAGCCTGCTGACATGAAGGAGGAACACTATGTCTTGGGGTTGGAAAGATAGGCAGAAACCAGTCACTCAGCATTGCAGGCCATGGTAAAGCATTCAGAGTTTAGTCTGAGCAATACAGAAAACCACCAGAGGGGATTAAATCAGAAAGCGGTGTTGTCTGATTTATATTTGCAAATGATTCTCTTGGCTAAACAGCAGTAGGGAGAAATAGATGTGTAAAGGATATATTTTAAAATTGGAGTTCTCAGAACCCATGGATGGATAGGATATGGAGAGAGGAGGACAGGAAGAATTTCTTCCTGATGACTTCTGGATTTTGGGTATGAGCCACTGGGTAATTGGTTACATCCTTTACTTACCTGGAGAGAAGTGAGTTAGAACAAGAGGGGAAAATCAAGAGGGCTGTTTTGGCCAGATTGAGTTTGAGAGTGAACATAAAATCTTGCTGAAAACCATAAAATGTCACATAAATATGGTGACATCATTTTAGAGCAACAATGTACGAGGTGGGCAAAAGTAGTTTGCAGTTGTCATACAAATAAATAATACAATAATTAATAAATAATAATACAACAGTAAGCTCTGTTTCACATACTTATAACTGAAAACCTACTTTTGCCCACCTCTGTAGAATGCATATGAAAAGCCAAAAGTATCAAGTATGTGCACTCAAGAAATAGGAAGATATTAACTCAAATTGCTTGTATTAAAGAAACTTCCAATTTAGTTCATGTGTAGGACATAATATATATATATATTAGTGACCAACCAAGTGGGGCAGCATATGATTTGTCAGGTGAGTGGTGTAATCAGTTAAAGGTAAGAGGTTCAGTAAGGGTTGTGTACTCCTAAAGCAGAATTTCACATATGAGACATTAGTGAAGGAAAGATTAAAAGCTTCTTTACTTCCTACTTCCCAATTTGGATGCCTTTTATTTCTTCTTCTTATCTGATCGCTATGACTAGGACTTAGGAGTGGTGAAAGGTTACCCTGTCATTTATGTTCCTAAGGGAAACGGTTTTAGTTTTTGCCCTTTGAATATGATGTTGGCTATAGGTTTGTAATATATAGCCTTTACTGCTGTTTGACCCAACGATTCCACTTCTGGGAATATATCCTAGAATCTTAAAACACCAATCAGAAAGAATATATGCATCATGAGAAGAAAGTTTTGAGAATTGCTGTTTTGTAGAAAGGAATAAACACATGCAAGCTTGTGTTTTGTTAAATATTTTTGAACTTTGGAAGTGGTTTTAAAGTTTTATTTTTCCTTAAGGACTTTCTACCCGCACCCCCCCCCCCCCAAAAAAAAAAAAAAAAGTAAGGAAAAGATACCTGAAATAAGACTCAGGCTAAATTATATACATTTTTGTTATCTTTTGATGACTATACTTACTCTAACTTGACTATTTTTTTAAATTATATAATAAAAGCTTAAATAATTTTAAAAATAAAGTCACCCAAAATTATTAATGAAATGAGAGCTTCCCCCGGCCCTTGCAAAGCCATATTTCCTCTCATAGAATTGTCTGAACTCAACAGGGTATATGTATCGATAATCACTCTTCTATTTTCACTTACGCAGCTCTGCAATTTTAGAATGAATGTAGTGAAAACTATTTATGATTGAAAAATGCTGTTTATAATTGCACTTCCTTTTATTTTTCAGTTTGCAGACTGTGGGTTGCATGCCTCCCCCTGTGTCTTCTGCAGTGATTTTGACCAAGGCAGTCGGTGGAAATGAGGTGAGTCTGGGCTAACTCTTTAAACAAAAATGGGTCTGTGCTTTTATTTGTATATTCTATTTTATGACATAGGAGTCAGGTAGCAAAAAACACATAAACATAGCAGCTTATGAAAGAAGTGAGTTATTTATATACTAGAGGCTTGTTGCAGGAAGATTCCTGCAAGAACAGGGCTTTTGGTGAGCTTCCCTCCTGCCACTGCCACTTCTTCCGCTCCCCCCTCACCCCGAGCTTTCCCTGATGCCTCTGCCCCTGCCCCCACTCCACGCTTTTTCTCCTGTCGCCACTGACCCCCCCCCACCTCTGCACTTTCCCTCCCACAGCTGCCTTGTTTTCCACTTTCCCTCCCTCTTCCTTCTATGCTGTCTTCAGTCTTCACTCCTCCCTCCCTCAGCGTATGCAAATTAACTACCATCTTTTTTGGGTTAATTTGCAAACTCACTCTGATTGGCTGTGGGTATAGCTAAGATAGTCATTTAGCATTTTTCTCTTTTTTCAGTGTAGATTATGATGCTGCTGAAATTGATGACAATGAGTGGGATTCAAGATTTCAAAGGAGGTGAATGAAATAGGGCTGGTGATTTCTCTACTTCAGTGGGAAATTGGGAGTTGGAGGACAAGGAATTCAAGGAAAGGGATTTTTCATCCAAGACTTACAAACTGAGGACACCTGCTATGGCCATTCCTTAATTCTTTAAAAAATTGTAAGGAATTAATTGTATAGGAAAGGGATCAGTATAAGTTTAATGGCTAGTGAAGATGATATACAAAGGAAAAATGAAGCCAGCCCAGCTGGTGTGGCTCAGTGGATGAGGGTTGACCCATATACCAAAGAGGTCATTGGTTTGATTCCTAGCCCAGGCACATGCCCAGGTTTTAGGCTCTATCCCCAGTAGGGAGCATGCAGGAGGCAGCTGATCAATGTTTCTATCTCTCTATCCCTTTCTTCTTCTCTCTTTAAAATCAATAAAAAATTTTTTTTTATAAAAAGGAAATGAGGCCAGATTTCCAAGATAAGTTAAAAAAAATTATCCAGCTGCTAGCTAGAGGACTCTGGAATAAGATGAGTGCTTGTGTATGGGGATAGCAGTTATTCACTTAAAGAACTACTTATAAGTGGCTCTTCTGAGTTGAAAGGCCCTACAACTTTGTACTGAGGCACTTTGCTTTGTACTACTCCCCCTTTCCACTGATAGTCCCTCATATAGAAAAGAATACTACTGAATAAGGAAAGATAGAAGGTGTTGCCACTTCAATCATCCTTAGGAGTTTGCTTTCTCAGCATCCATTTTAATTTTCATCCATTTTATTAATTTCAAAAATATTTCTTGATCATATGCTATATTCTTTTTAAAAACAGCATTATTGAAATATTATATTATTGACATACAATAAACTGCACAAATTTAAGCAATTTAATGTTTTGACATATGTATAATAGTGTATATCTGTGAAATCACGGATAGTGAACATGTCCATTACCCTCAAAAGTTTCCTTGTACCCTTTGGTAATCCCTCCCTCCTGTTCTTCTTAGCACCTCTCTTCCCCTGGCAACCACTGATCTGTTTTCTGTCACTGTGCATTAGTTTGCATTTTCTAGAGTTTTATAGATATAATGGATCATACAGTGTATACTCTTTTTTTTTTTACTTAGAATAATTATTTTGAGTTTTATCTATATTGTGTGTATCAATAATATTCCTTTTTATTGCTTAGATGTATTATTTTGTATGGATGTGCCACAATTTGTTTATCCATTCACTTGTTGATGGACATTCAGGTAGTTTCCACGCTGGAGCTATGGATATTTGTGTACAGATCTTTGCATGGACATAAACTTCCAATTCTCTTGGGAATTCTTAGCAGTAGAATGGCTGTTTTAGTACATTTTGACCAAGGGAGGAATCACCAATAAATAGTTATAAATCACTATAAATAGTTTTTGAATTGAACCATTTCTTTTACTATGCAGGCACTCTCCTTTTTATCACAGGCGCATGTTTATCTTTTTAAGAAATTGCCAAAGTATTTTCAAAAGGGGTTGTATCATTTTACATTTCAAGCAGCCGTATATGAGTTTCCAGTGTTCTACATCTCAGCAATGGTTGGCATTGTCAGTCTCCAATTTCAGCCATTCTGATATGTGTGGAGTGGTATCTCATTGGGGCTTTAATTTAATTTGCATGTTCCAGTGACTAGTGATGGTAAGTGTTATCTTTCCACGTGCTTATTTACTATCCATGACTTTTTTTAGTAAAATGTATGTTAAATCTTTTGCTTTTTTTAATTGGGTATTTAATTTTCTTATTGATGAGATTTGAGAGTTTTATATATTCTGGACCTAATTCCCCCTCATTCGATATAGGCGTTGTAAATATTTCCTCCCAGTGTGTGGTTTGTTTTTTCAATGTCTTACCATAGTCTTGAAGATCAGGATGATAGTGGAGGCACAGAAATGAGGTTGGATGCCTTATGCATTTTGAAGGCACAGGATAGGCTTATGCGTTGGGTGTGGAATGTGAGAGAAAGACAGGTGTCAAGAATGACCTCAAGGTTTTTGACTGAGCAGCTAAAAGAATGGAGTTGCTGATATGGAAATGAGTACTGTGAGAGCAGGTTTGGGAGGCATCAGTCTGGTGATAACTAAGAATGCCAAAATCTCGATGGCTACCTGTATAGGTTTATTTCTTGCTCATAGTACATGTCCCATGTGGGTCAGTTGGATTGTCTTTGCTGTCACTAAGGAACCTTGGTTAATGGAGGCCTTATTTTTATGGAACTCACAGCATTTATAGTTGCCACAGCAGGGAAAGAGAGAGATTGGAGAGTCACCAATGGGCTTTTCACTGTCCAGGCTGGAAGGGGTACATGACACTTCTGCTCACATTAAAATGGCCAGAACAAGTCATATAGCTTCGCCATGTGTTGCCCTTGATGTGCCCCGAATGAGAAGAGAACTGGATATTGGTGAACACTTGTGAAGATGTCATCCATGTGGGTAAAGATCAAGAGTTTGTGTTTTATTAAGATACCTATTATATATCCAAATGAAAATGTCAGAAAGCAATTAGAATTACAGAGTTAGAGTTCAGGTCTAAACTGGAAATATAATTAGGAAGTCATCAGTGAGTAAATGGTATTTCAAGCCAAGATTGGAGAAGATCACCTGGGAATAGAGCATAGGTAGAAAAGAAACAGGTTCAAGAGCTGAGCTCTGGGACCCTCCATCATTAAGAGGTCATGACAGCGAGGACTAACCAGCAAAGACAACATCCTATATAATAAAGAAGTAATATGCAAATTGACCCTCATGCCCTCACTTAAGATGGCCGCCACAAGATGGTCGGCAGGGGAGGGCAGTTGGGGGCGACTGGGCCTGCAGGGGAGGGAGGGCAGTTGTGGGGGACCAGGTCGGCAGGGGAGGGCAGTTAGAAGAAATTGGGACAGCAAGGGAGAGCAGTTAGGTGTCAATCAGGCTGGCAGACAGGCGAGGGGTTGGGAACAGCAGTCCTGGATTGTGAAAGGGATGTCCCACTGCCGGTTTAGGCCCAATCCCTCCCGAGGGGTCCCAGATTGGAAAGGGTGCAGGCTGGGCTGAGGGACACTCCCCCAAGTGCACAAATTTCTCCTAGTAGAAAACATAATTAGAGAAATGGAAAGAAAACAAGAAATCATGGTATCCTGAAACCAGATGATGAAAGTGTTTGAAGGAAGAGGGTATGATCAGCTATGTCAAATTCTGCTGATTAAATGGCATAAGGTGAATTCTGACAATTGACCCTTGAATCAAGACATATGGAGGTTACTGGTATCCTTGGCTAGAGTGGTTTTTGTGGAATATGGGGGCAAAAGCTTGTTTGTAGTAGGTTTAAGGGAAAACAGGAAGAGGGGAGAGAGGAATTAAAGATAAGTGTATAGACATCATTTTGATGTCTTTGTGATAAAGGGAATAGAGAACTGAGGCTGTATTTAGGTGGGATGTGGGGTTAAGATTTTTAAGTACAGAAATGACCGCATGTTTCTGTCATGCTGGGAACTGTACAGTAGAAAGAGAGCTGGATGACTTTTATTTTTCTCAGCAGCCGATAGTGATGACAGGGTAAGTGCTATGAATGTTTGAGATGAGAGGAGAAACATGCCATTACCGCGGAGCTGAGGAGAGTGGGTTAGCTGGAGAGTATGGTAGCATTGCAGGCAGCACTGAGGATCCAGCTGGGATTTAGTCATTCATTTAAAGGGAAGCCAGGCATGACGGTTGTGTGTGTTTTCTTAGCATAGTTAGCTTTTTGGTGTAGGAATAGAATTGGCAGATAGTTGGAAACCTGTCGTTTCATTATTGCAGCTAATTTTTTCACCTAATAATAGTGAGATAGAGGAGTTATAGGAGTCAGACTGATTCCTGCTTTGATTTTCTATCACTTTGAAATAATTTGAGGAAAGGGTTTCTTTTGTAATATCAGAGACTGGTGTTAAGGGTGTAAATGTGTCATTTATCTCTTTCATTCTAATGTGATTCCCTTAGGAGCCATAAGGCCAAAAAACCTCTTTGTTCTCAAATGACTTTGGCAGAAGTTCAAAGTTCACTAATTTTCTTGTCATTAATATATAGCAATAAAAAGTGTATTTACATGTTCATTCCTCAGTAGATATTTTACTTGTTTACATTAATGTATGCTCATAAGGTTGAGTTTACAAAGGTTTCCTTTGTTTTCTAATATCATTGGTCTAGCTCTTTAAATATGTGTATGGTGAGTCTTCATGACTATCAAGCATTGGGGAGTTATAGGAGTCAGACTGATTCCTGCTTTGATTTTCTATCACTTTGAAATAATTTGAGGAAAGGGTTTCTTTTGTAATATCAGAGACTGGTGTTAAGGGTGTAAATGTGTCATTTTTAAGATGCAATTTTTCACACATATTGAAAATTGAGCTTCAGAAATGAAGCTTGTGAAGTCCAGTTTGGCCGTATCTTCTGATATGAAATGAATAGACTTTTATA